GCCAGGCTTCTGCCAGACTCTTCCGCTGTACCCTCCCAAGATCATCACACACGGCCACTAACTGGGGCACTTCTCCCCATCCACCCTTGCAGTCACATTACTTGAACAGCAGCTAACAAAACAGCTCTCCTGCCTGCCCTCCCTCCCTCCTTTCCCTCCCTCCCTCTCCGGCCTCTTTCTCTCTGCCTCCTGCTCCCCTCTGTCCTTCCCTCCTCCTCCCCTCTGTCCTTCCCTCCTGCTCCCCTCTGTCCTTCCCTCCTCCTCCCCTCTGTCCTTCCCTCCCACCCTCTCTCTTTCCTACTCCTGTCCTCTCTCTCTCGGAACACACTGGTTCTTCTGGGTTAGGGAGAGGGGCTGATGTTTAAATTTTAGGGGAGAGGAAGGGTATGAAAACAGCCTCTCCTTTCTTTAGTCCAATTTCTCACTTAAAACTTAGCCTGGGAATGGGTTATTTTTGAAAATGAGCCCCTAGTAAATGAAATGAATCCCAGATATTGAATGTTTTCCTGAGTATAAATTAAAAAATAGTATATTAAACTTCTTAACATAATTTCTATCAATTCAGAAACTGGTACATAAAGCATGGAGCCTGCTCCCACTATTCTGCAGTGAGTTTGTTAGTGGTCCAGTCGTAAGCAATCGTATGAGGTGAGCGTTACCTTCGGGAGTGTGGTAGTTGTAGCAGGCAAAGTGGCTCCTTCTCCCTGGGTGGACGCATGCACAGGACCCAGGTGAAGGCAGCGCCAGCAGGAGAGAGACCGTGCAGAACACGCGCAGGAGGGGAAAGAAAAGACAGGAACGTGTGAAACTGCAGTGAGATAACACGCAGACTCAACTTTACAGGGTGAAAGTGCGTTCAAAACTGAGGGCCGAGACTAGAGTGCTCCAAGTCAGTGAGTGTCCTAGAACCAGCGGCGAACTGTTAGAGGAAACACCAGGACGACAGGTGAGTCACCAAGCAAGGGCAGGGGCAGCGGTCAGTCACAAAGTCACCACCCACTCTGCGGATTTCTTCTGTTAAAGAGCACACTGAAATCCAAAGCAAAACACACCACCACCTGTGCACCCCACTCCTCTAAAGACAGTGGAAACATGCGCCCACATCTCAAAACCCTCTGGTCCCAAGCTAGCTTCACCTGGTCCCACAGCCGACAAGGTGTGCGGTGGAAATACAGGACTGATCGCTCACAGCCATCAACACGCGTGAACATCGCGTTCTCCCACGAGGAACACCCACCTCACTCAGCATGCTGACAGTCCTCAGCTAGTTACAAGGAAAACTTCAAGAGACGGCAGGGCCTGGTAAAGAGAGCATGGCTTTGGCGCAAGAGCCTCTTGGCACAGCATTCGGGTATGCCACCGAGCCCGTGTCTCACCCCAAGACAGTGCATTACTGGGTTCAGCTGTAAAAGACGAGCACGGCCGCGATGACAAACGGGCACACACGAGAACACCAGCAGCCGACCCAGAGGAGACGCAGTCAACGTCCCTTCTTCTCTTTCCCTCTGAACCAGGGGAGCGGGGCCTGCATGACCAAGCTGGGGAAGCGCCGTCCACGGCATCCTGACCACCCACCCATGCTGCACCCTTGACTGGCTGTGACTTCACTCCACCTGCAGGGACACAGCCACACCCTCAGCAAGGGTGCCACACCTGTAGACCAGGGTCTCACACTAGGCTCTCCTGCAGGGACCTCACAGGACACCACCTTGCAGCAATGACAAACTCTATGACGTCTGCACTGCTCTCACTGATCTCTCTGTATTTACAGTCCATCCGAGCTCTGGAGTGGGGAACAAATGGCTCCATTACACAAACCCCAAGCGTCACGTGTACACTGTTACCGACGCAGGTAACACACGCCCTTACTCTCCTCCTGACTGCTTCCGGGACTCAGGGGGCCCGCCTCCTCTGCCCCAAGCCCCCTTCCCATTCTCTTAGCCTTGCGATTCTGAACTCAGCTCAGAGTCTCCTGCTGCTGGGTTAGTCCTCCCCCCATGCCTTTCCACACCCCCAGGGTCTCCCCTGACAGATATTTACTAAGTGCCCATTACGTGCCAGGCACAGGGACGAAGGACACACCGTGCCTGCCCTCTAGGATTTCTCGGGTCGGAACACAACAGGGCGTAACTGTTACCCAGGTGTCATATACACGAGCACCTCCTCTGTGTGTGTGACACAAGTTTTCGTGAAACAGTACTTTTCCTCACTGATGTTACTGTCACTGTGGTGGATACTATTACCCTCTGTTGAGCCTGTCACCCCTGATAGGGAAGACAGGGCTCTCAGTCACAGGAACACAGACTGAGCGCTGAGGGATGCTGTGAGACATGTGGGTGGGGGCCGTGCAGCATCAGCACCCAGACCCCGTGGTGTGGAGGATGAAAAGTGAGGGATCCTGCAGGAAGGGGGAGCCACCGTGAGATGTGAAGAAGGAGCAGGGTCCCTGGCAAGGAGGAAGAGGAGGACACTAACTGCAGGCAGAGGACAGCACACAGAGACCCAGAGGGAGGAAGAAACGCTGCTAACAGAGTACAGAGTGGTAGGGAGTGAAGAACAGCCAACTGCGCCTGAGGAGAGGCCACATGGTGAAGGCCCCCACCCCAGAACGGAGTCTGGGCTCTCCTCGAGTGTGAGGAGGTGAAGCAGGTCTTCAGAGGGATCGCTGTGGCTGGAAAAGGAGCATCTGACTGAGGGGCACCAAAGGGGCTCGGTGGTAGGGCACCAAGGGGGGTTCAGTGAGGGGCACCAGGGGGGCTCGGTGGTGGGGTGCTGGGGGGGCTCAGTGAGGAGGCGCCAGGGGGCTCGGTGGTGAGGCGCCAGGGGGGGTTGGTGAGGGACACAGAGGGGGCTCGGTGGTGCGGCTGAGCTGGAGGAGCACCAAAGGGCACACAGGTCTGGGAGGTGCTGGACAGACACAGAAGTGAGAGGCCCTGCCTCAGCTTGAACAATGGAGGAGGAGGGCATGTTCACTAACACATGAACAGAAGAAAAAAGAGGGTTTTTTGTTTTTTTTGTTTGATTGCTTGGGGCCCAGGCGAAGAAAAATGACTTCCGTTCTGACACACTGCATTTCAGGTGTTTGTGACCAACTGAAGCTACCCAGCAGGCAGCCAATGAACCGGAAAGAACACCTCAGGAGACAAGCCAGCACCCAAGAGACGCTCACTGGGTCTGGGCACACGCTGGCGCGGGGTCGTCTGAAGCAGGCACCGTCTCACTCGTCTCTGTACCCACTGCTTCACCCACAGGAGGCGCTCAATACCTGCTGGCACAGTAAGGCAGCAGAGCGCCGGGACACAGGAGGCGTATTACAAAGCACGTAACGTGTGTGCTGCCAACGTTTGGAGAGAAGTAGCACAGAACTACTATCTTCTAAGGCCTGTGATCTTCTCATGCCTACAGAACACCTCTAAACGTTTGATTACTTGAACGACTGCAAGTTGAAAGAAGCCGTCAAAACAGACATTCTCCCTAGAATATAAGTTCCCCGAGGTCCAGGCCTTTATCTGTTTTGTTGGTGTTGCATCTCCCAGGCCCAAAACAGCATCTGACATATAATAAGCACTCAATAAATATTTGTCAGATAAATGAAGGAAGTAACTCTCATCCTATCTCTGCCGACCACCAAATCAGCTCTCCATTTTTCAACTGAAAACTATTCTAAATCAATTTCTCTCTAGGCTAACACTCCTCAATCCTGAAAAAACCAGGTTTGGGGAAAACAGTCATTAGTTTAGAGCATTTCATGCAAAACTTTAAAGGCAGACCCCATAAGTAGAACAGGTCCTAAAAAATGTCTAAGTTGAAAAACAAATGGCCATCTCAGTGTGGCCAGGCATTACTGCAGACAACCAAGCACCCACGCTCTCCCACACGTTACAGACACAAAATAACCCTGGCACCCACCGTCTCCGGACTACGGGACTGCAAGTGAACCTTCCAGCCAGAAAACCGAGGGACAAAGTAACACTAACGTATTCTTCACAGAAAGCTAATCGACAAAACCCACCCTGAAACATAACAAGTTAAATATAAAACCTACCACCTACAGCACTTTATTTCCTGTACTGACAGAACAGGTAGGCCACACGTAATCATTATTTAACTATAACAACTTAATCAGCGGTGAGACGAAACCAACCTTCCACATAAAAATAAACACTCCAGAATCAAAAAAGAGGACAACAGTTCCTGTCCAAGGGACCCTAGGTCATCTACGCCACTGGTTCATGCTTCAGGTAACTTTTTCTACAATTACTAACTGGGCTGTAAAAACCGTTCAAGGTGGGACAGAAGGGTGAAATACTCTGTCCTTCACTATATTTTATAACACAAATCACATACTACTGTTTTAACCAAATAAATGAGAAATGAGGTAGTTTAGCTGAATAATCAATATGCCATATATATCATACATACATGCAAATACATACACTACATAGAGACGTGTGGTAAAAACATTTCTTTAAGAATGTCAATGTATGTCTCTACCTGATATTGAACTTATGACAATAGTTTCAGCTTATGAGAGATCTACAATTAAAAACTATTTAGAGGACTCACATGAAAATAAAATTAGCCTATTATAATTTAAAAACCAAATAAATACTCTCCTCTGACTAAGAGACACTGTTCATACCTTAAACAAGGGTATGAATATATATACATACATAAAATCTGTCCCAAGAGAAGTACATTCCAGTTTGTCACTTTTACTAGATTTTTTTACGAAGGTTATTTTGGAAAAAAAGTTTTTAAGGGAGCAGATAATTTAAAACTCCCCTAAAATCTCTCTCCACTCATTTTTTTCAACTTTGTTTCAACTTTTTTCCATGAGAACTTCATTTTTATGCATGAATGTATGCCTCACGTGACCCTAGAGTTTTTTTTTTCTTAAGTAAATGGCATCATATGAAGTTTTTTTTTTTTTTAAATGGTCTAAAATACGTTAAGTCAACCAACACAAAGGCATTTAAACAAAATCCACTAGAGAGCACAAACACAGCTAAATAATACACCTTTACACCACTGAGGCCGGAATGACCTCATTTCTCACCTGGGCTTAGTTCTACCAAGTAGGGCAGCTTCTCGGGAGGGAGCGAGGAGCCGTAGGCAGATCCGTCGGCCCTCTCCTTCCCTTTGAGTGGCTTCCCATCCACCTGTTTTTTGGTTTTCTTTGGGATGTGGTCTGGTGGCCTCCTCTTCAACTGGAAGACTAAAATCCCTAGAAAGGAACATGGAGAATCACCACCCGCTCGCATTATCCAGCATGGCCAGTTCAGAGGCAGTGAGCTACGCACAGACTTAGCAAGATGACGCCATGTCTCCCGAGGAACAATGTACCCACCGTTCACTTTTACTCAGTACAGGAAAGAGTAGTCTCTTGATGTGTTCTGAAAAACTCTAGCAAGAAATCTCCAAAGATGATTTTAAATTAGCAATTACTCAAGCATGTTATATGCCTGAAAAATAACATCAGTTTAAGAATAAGTGAATGTCTTATTTGGTAAACAACCCTTTGATCAATGACTATATAAATATGCACACGTACAGTCATGTGCCACATAACGTCCATTCAGGCAATGTCCCACCACGTATACCTCCGTGGTCCCATAAGGGTTTTTTTAAAGAGAAAGCAGCTCTCCCTTTGCCATTTCCTCCTAGTGGTTTTAAAGACCCCAAGCCCCCAGAATGAATGCACGGCGCAGCTCCAGGGCACACCCCAATCCCTGCAGCGCCTCCCCTTCCTCACCTGGCTTCATGCACCCCCCCCAGCAGCCGTGCAGCCTTCCACTCCCCATGCAGGGCAGCGTCTGCCCAGGCTCCGCCATCCCTGCCACGGGCAGGGCCCAGGGCACTCGTGGGGTCTCAGTTCTGGCGGCACGTGATCGGGAAGCGGCTACACCATCAGCACAGCAGCAGGGCTGCCAACATCAGCCGTGCTCTGGGCATCCACACACCCACTCGTAGCAGGCACCTCTGCGCGCCCTCCCTGCCCAGATGTGCACAAAGTCCTGATCCAGCTGTCACGAAGCCCCCTTCCCTCCACCCAGCTGCATACCCGGCAACGCCGGCCTCTTGTATCCAGCTCCCATAAGGTTTTAATATAGCAGGCTTTATGGGGATTGAACTACGGATTGTACAGGGACTGTCTGTACATAACATGGTGTTTGCACAAGGTCCAAATCGCAAGACATCCTACTTCACAGAATGTATTGTGGACGTTCAGTGATGTATACTTGTATATACAAAAATACATTTTTAGTTAACCTGATTTTTATTTAGTTCAACTGAATTAGTTCAGAATTCAAAGCAATTTGACTTTAACTGAATAAAGTTTAACTTCACACTGTCCATAAAAAGTACTAAAAAAGTATCAAGGAGGCTAGTAATTTGCTTACTGAGAACAGCCCTTCTTTTCTTGTACTTTAAAACCACCCATCCAAATCCAAGCATTGAGGTGATTACTGGTGATAAACTTGTATGTCTTTATTAATGCAAAGGCCTTCTACTGGACAAGAGTTAGCTCATGGTATGAATTTGAAAGTAAGAAAACTGTATTTCGGCAAAAACAACCTTCTCTACTCTGAGGTTGTCTGAATAGTGAAAATTCTGAATCCGTTATCTGAAATGACTAACCCACTGAGAAGTCTCTAGGTCCGTCGACTGTTTTCCCTGTCGCAACAAATCTGTCCAAAGACTGCCGGTTCACCTAGTTCTTATGGAAAGTCTTCTATTGCTGACAGCTAGCAATGACCTTCCAGTTCCTGCCACAGGACCAACAGTCTGGCCTTTCAAGAGACACGGTCCTCTGACAGCAGCGTTACAGCCTGCCCAGGATCCACCCTCAAGACTAAGATAGCACTGAGTGGCCGAAGGACAAGGGCACCACATCAGAGCCATTCAGCATGTCAGTGAAGGAGGCAGAGCACGACATAAAGCACCATCAAAAAATAACTTCCTGCACACAGCTACATCCTCTAGAAGTAAACTAAACGACTGGTGTATCATATCACACAGAGATTTAACAGATCACAGGAGAAGTAACCCTTTAAGAAATACAATAGCTCTTCACCTTTGTCACTGGGCCATTCCCGGAAGATTTGCAGGGGACACTCATCGTCATCAAGGATAATTTCTTTAGCACCTTTTTCATCAGAATGTTGGGATCCAGGAGGAAGCATAACCTAAAAGAAAACATATTAACTGTGAATATCACATTTAAAAAGTAAATTAGCGAGTATTTAAAGGAAAGAATACCATTTTTGAATGAATAAAAAATAGTCACTGAAGAATTAAACCGAGCAAGCACTGTCCAAAAGTCTCTTTAATTTCCAATTAAAAGGTGAGTCACCTGCCTCCCTGCCCCTCCCCATAGTAATAGGAGTATTTTTAGAAACTTTGAAACAGAAAGACAATGTGGTACCATTGACTTGTGAGTAATTTCTTAAGGGAAAATAGTGTCATTATTGCAATCTCAATCTCTGTAGTCCCTAACTCACCTTTTCAATTCAAACAACGGAGTTTCATATAATGTAAGACCTCTTATGTTAACAACTATCATATAACAACAGAATACTTTCCTTTTTCTTGTAGATAGTCTATCTTTAAATTTTAATCGGATCATTTAGATGTATTACAGAATTATTTGTTTATTCAAAAAATGTTTTTAAGCATCTATTTTAAGACAGTGTGTTCAAAATACTCTTAGGAACTCTGATTCTGTATTTCTCTTTACCGTATGTTTTTCCACAGTTAAATAGTCTTTGGAATCATCCATGAACGCCTGCAGTCAACGGAAGAGAAGGAGCGGCCACGGTGTAACCATCTCACCTACTCCGTGGACTTTCCGCCCACCTTCATTCTGAATGCTGACAGTAACCAAAACCGTTCGCTGGGCACACTGCTGGGCACTGTGCTCACAGCCTCAGCGGGGACACAGAGGGAAGAGGACTGGGTCTTTGCTTACACTGCCGCCTCAGAGTACTCGACTTTTTATAGCAGTCTCACCAATTCTCAGTGTAAAGAACTCCTGTCATAAAATGCATCATTACCCATGGACCTGATCATACCACAGGCCCTTACTGCATAAAGCCCAGCACTACAGCATGCTCTTCCCTGAGCCATACTTAAATGCCAGGTAGAAAACGCACCACAATGTCCTCTCTCTTGCAAGTATTTTTTCTTCAGAAAGAAGGCAAAATTATCTAGACTATGCACTCTTTCAACCCTACCCTACCCCAACAAGAAAAAGTATGGCAGAATTTCAGCTACAACACTTTATCTGTTGACCAGGTTATGTGTGCCATCAAGTCGATTCCAACTCATAGTGACCCTGTAGGACAGGGTAGAATTGCCCTATAGGGTTTCCAAGGCTGTAATCTTTAAGGAAGCTGACTGCCACATCTTTCTCCAGTGGAATGGCAGGTGGGTTCGAATTGCCGACCTTTCAGTTAGCAGCCACGTGCTTAATCACTGTGCCACCAGGGGTCCTACAATGAAATTAGCTGTATTATACACCTACTCCTCACTTACCAACTATCTCATTAGCTGACATTTCGCATTTACAACAATAGCTGAACAATCTACTATCTGACTACTCTGCGCTGTAACGACGTATGTCCGGCAGTAACGAATGCCGAGGTGTGAGGCGAGAGTAGCGCTGGCTGTGATGGTTCAGGTTCTGCACCAGCTTGGCTGGGCCATGATTCTCAGTGGTTTGGCAGTTATCTAATGATGTAGTCGGCAGTTATGCAATGATGTAATCATTCTCATTTTATGATCTGATACAGCCATCCTCTATTTTCCCAAAATGACCAGGTCTTTGAAACATTGTATCAATTAAGTGAAGAGTGGGTATATTCTTTGGATTCCAAATAACATAAGACTCACTGTAAAAAATATTCCAACAATACAGAAAAACATAAGGAGGAAAGTTAAGAAAAAAAAAACTGTAAGGTAACTGTTTTTGTGATCATGTTCTCATAATTATCCTTAGACACTCATTTTATATAAGGAAGTTCATATCTTAAACGTACGTGGTACTTTAGAAGGCTCTTTTTCCTCTCTTTACCTGGGTAGTTGACAACCTAGTGTGTATCCTCCCTGCAGACACACCTTTCTCTATGCTCGTGTATACATGCAGCATTCTGTTTTGGGTTTTATTTTGTTTACGATGGGGGGTTTTTCCAAAAGCTGGATATTGTATAAAATTTCTATATTTCCAAGTCAAGTTCTATAGCTCTCACGCACAATGTTCCATAGCAACACGGTATTCAATGGCACAGACATCCCTTTAGTGATGGGCATTTCATGTGCTTCCTGTTTATTGCCACAACAATAAATATTGCAAAAAGGAAATCCTTAGAGAAATACACTTAGGAATTTACTGGCTATTTATTGGTTTATTTTACATGTTGTAACTAATATTCACCATCATATCTCTGACGGATATGTTTGAATGGCTATTGTCTTTTCTTTAATTTTAGGTATTACTTCCACTCCAAAATGACTGCTGTCTAGGATAGCTGCACTGCTCTTTCAGACTCTTCCTTCCCCATCATCCTTGGAACTACCTTCTCCTGGGCCAGGTTCTGGAAACCGTGGTAGCATACTGATTGAGTGCTACGGCTGCTAACCAAAAGGTCGGCAGTTCGAATCCACCAGGTGCTCCTTGGAAACTCTAGGGGGCAGTTCTACTCTGTCCTGTACATTGCTATGAGTTGGAATCGACTCCACAGCAACAGATACGAGTGCCAGGTTCTAGTCCTAGATCCTCTATCTTTCTCTTTCTTGGCCTCTCCCATCATATTGCTGGAGTATGTCGCCCAGTAGCTTTCTGAGAAGGGACACATGGGAGGTAAATTCATGAAGACTACGTATGTTTTAAAATGCCTTTACTCCACCTAACACTTGACTGACAGTTTGAACTGAAAATCATCTTCACTCTGTGAAAGCGCTGCTTCATTGTACTCCAGACTCCACTGTTACTGCTGAAATGATGGGCACCAATCTTATTCTCAACTCTTTACACGTGACTTCAATGTCTCTCTCTAGGGCATTAACCCATCTTTACCTTTAGTTTTCTGCAATTTCAAATAATATGCTTTAGTCTGAATCTTTTACAAAGTAACTCTACCATCATTCCAGCAAGCCTTTTCAACCTAGAAAGGCCAATCCTTTGGTTCTGGGAGCTTTTACGGTAGTACTTCTTGGTAGCTTCCACCCTTCATTTCTTGTTGCTTTCTGTCTGGTCCTCCTAATAGTTAATGTTTGGATACCCTACACTGATAATCTAAATTTCTTATCTTTTCTGTTTTACTTCCTTTTCTTTCTGTTCTACATTCTGATAAATTCCCTTAACTTTATCTTCCACCCCTCCTACTGGCATTTCCCCCTTTATCTCTTATTTATTTATATAGTTTTACATTTCCAACAGCTCTTTTTCTAAATGTTCCTTTTCAAGGCATTCTAGTCTCATTTCATGGATGCAACATCCCTCTTATCTGAGTATCTCTGTTTTTTGGAGACCCATCTGCTGTCTACATTGTCTCTCTTAGCTCCAGGTTCTTTTATCTATTTGTGTTGGTCTTTCATTTTAAAGGGTTTTCTCAAATGTCTGTTGGACCCTGTCCACTCATATTTGATAGTGAGTCATAAAAAAGCTGAGTGTAAGCCTGAATGTATCTATGGGCAAGGATGACTGTTGGCGGGCCTCACAGTGGGACTACTGGACCAGAACCTCCAAAGGTCAGTATACAGACGTTATCTTCTTTGGTCAGCAAGTTCTCCTGGGAGGACTCCTTCAACCTAGCTGTCAGTGTTCTGGGTGCAGACTCACACTTAATCCTCCTGTTTTCAGTAAAGATCTCTCGCCACCTCTGCTCTGCTGGTATCCCCAAACCCAAGGCCTCCCTTGTTCAATCCCCCGTTCAGCTGGGGAGGGTGGACGTGGTGATTGAAATGGGAAAGGGGATTGGGCGGGGGGATATATTTTTGCTCATAAAAATCTTCAACTAAATTTTCTGTTTCAGGCTAACTTTCAATACTGCCTTAGAAAGTACCTAAAGCCTCTAATTGCTGTGTCTTCCTGGGGTTCTGATATAGGCACTTTGTTCTTGACCTCCTCTCTACAAGCTTTCTCGGGTCTAGTAAGTTAAACATCACTCAATTACATCTTCAAAATTTCATTGACAACTCTGAATTCTTGTCATCTCTTCTCCCAATCTCTTTTTTTGTGGGCTTACAGAATTTTTTTTTATTCATTTATTGTCATTTTTGATGGGGAAAAATCTGTTTTCTCATCTGTTTTCAGCTGAAAATTGAGCTACATTCATAAAACTAAGCATCTACCAGATAACTTTTTCCAACTGATTATAACGTCTTAGATTTTTAGCAAGAAAATACCATGAAATTCAAGCAAGTCCTTTTATTTAATTTCATCTATCTCTTACAAAAGAAGTACAAGAATTCTACACTAAAAAAACTAAAAACATTGCTGAGAGAACTTAAAGATCTAAATAAACAGACATACTATGTTCATAGGTGGAAAGACTGAATATTGTTAGGATAAGAAGTTTTTCTAAATTTATCTATAGATTCAATGCAAACTCCATCATAATTCCAGCAGACTTTTTTGTAAAAACTGATGAGGTGAATCTAAAATTTACATAGGAGTGCAAACAATCTAAAATAAACAAAGCAGTTTTTAAAGATAAAAGCAAAGAACAAAGTCAGGACTTACTTTACATGATTTTAAGGCTTGTTATAAATTTACAGTAATCAAGACAGCTTGGTATTGCCAAAAAGGCATATAGAGCACTTGTATTTTGGTAGTTTCTTAAAAAGTTATACACACACCTATCAAGTGATTGAGCCATTATACATCCGGGTATTTACCCAAGACAACACGTGTACGTTCTTTGCAACTGTAGTGTAAAAGCCCCAAACTAGAGACAACCCAAATGCCCATCAACAGGCAAATGGATTAACAAGTTGTGATATATGCATACAGCGAAATACTAATCAACAACAAAAAGAAGCAACTATTGATGCACATACCATGGATGATTCTCAAAATCAATATGCTGATTGAAAGAAGGCAGGAAAAAGAGAGTACATACTGTATGATTCTATTTATGTAAAAAGTCTAGAAAATGCAAACTAATCTATAGTGACAGAAAGCAGACCAGCGATTGCCTGGGGACGGGAGATGAAGGGAGTGATGAGACACAAAGACGCATGAAGAAACTTTTGAAGATGATGGAAATGTTCATTGTGTACACCGAGGCAACAGTATACTTTAAACGTGTAGTTTGTTATACTTTAATTACACCTCAATAATTTCAGGGAAGAAAAGCATTAAAACAAGTAATCACCCTGTTTCATTATTCAATAATCACTTGCTAAGATGAAAGAAACAGGGGCATCTTTTAAAAAAAAATGTATTGTCAACTGACATTCTGCCAGGGAAATACTGGCTATAAAGAAATTAGTATATACTTGATTGACTTAGAGGTCAAGAATTTTCCAAGCAGTTTTTTTACTCCGACTAGAAACTCTCATTTTACTAAGTGTTCTCAAATCATTTCAGAAACATAAAATTTCATTTTATTTCTTTAGTACTAGGGTCAAAAATATATTCTTTACCTCTAAAAACTACGGATGACTATTGAACACATCAACCAGATGCTGGGCATTATGAACAGCAAACTGTAATTTATTTAAAAGTTGAATCTTCATGATATACCAAACCCAACGCCGTCAAGTCGATTCCAACTCACATCAACCTTACTTAAGACAGACAAGAACTGCCCCATAAGGTTTCCAAGGCTGTAACCTTTATGAGGAAACCCTGGTGGCGTAGTGGTTAAGAGCTCGGCTGCTAAGCAAAAGGTTGGCAGTTTGAATCCACCAGGTGCTACTTGGAAACCCTATGGGGCAGTTCTACTCTGTCCTATAGGGTCACTGTGAGTCAGAATGGACTCGACGGCAATGGGTTTGGTTTGTTTGGTTTTAATCTTTATGAAAGCAGACTGCCACATCTTTCTCCTGTGGAGTGGCTGGTGAGTTTGAACCACCAACCTTCTGGTTAGCAGCCTAGCACTTAACCACTACACCACCAAAGCTCCTTCTTCATGATATAGCTTAGTAAAAAACTACAAGAAAACTATCATTAAAATAGATCTTATGAAAAAAGTTATCTGTATACGCAAAGTAAGAGTTGGAAGGATCGACATCAAAATACTAAGAGTGATCATCCTTCAGTAGTAGAACAATGGGTGATTTTTCTTTTCTTCAATTTCCTTTTTTATACTTTCCTAATTTTGTAACAATGAACACGTTCTACATTCGTAATGGATGGGAGATTGCTGTTTTTTATACAGATTTAACATATGGTTTCAGATCATCAGATTTGAAATAATACAATGGTGACAAAATCTGCGTATCTTTAAACTTGATTTAAAGACTCTCTTTCCATCTCAATGCAAAATCCTACTACATTTAATATTGGTAAGAAGTGCTGATTAGATAAAAGCATTTACCCGGGCGATGCAGTAATCCTTAGGACTCTCTTTCTCCAGACCATACTTCTCTAAAGCTTCAACCACAGCAAAGTCTGCAGTATCGGTAGTCGACAGGAGGATTGTCTTGTAGGGAATATTTGGTTTTAAACTATCTGCATAAATTCTCAGTGTTCCACCTGAAAAAACATTTTGACATTTTTGAACACAAATTTCTTTTATGTCAATAATAACAACAACTAACATTTACAATCACTTAAGAGTGCGTAAGTTCCAAACGCAGTGAGTACAAAGAATCTGTACAAGAATTCTATTTGCATTTCCTGTTAGAAGACGTACACTAGCAGTGACTTTTTGATCTAGTGATTCTCTGTACAGTGAATAGTCCTGTGTGCCAAAGACTGTTTCTGGTCGTCTCAGGTCACAGTAGTTTTTTTAACAAAGATGCACATATTTACTCTACAGGTGAAGAACAGAAAAAGCAATGAACTCTAGATCTTTCTCCTAGCGCTACTCTTTCTCCAAGCGTGCTTTTCCATTTCCTTACTGATAAACTTTTTATATCCCCATTTTCCCCATTTTTTTCAACTTTCTGAAATAGAAGTTTAAAATCCAGATCAACTTAGTAATAACTGCACAAAATAAGTCAATTTGAAAAACGCTGGGCTCGGAAGTAGGAGATCTCAGGTGCTACAATACAAAGATTTTCTATAAGGTATTTGCCACCAAACACTGGGCTCTACCTGTCTTCCAGGCTGCATACTCGAATGTCATTCCTAGAAGTGAACTCATTTGGGAAAAAACAATCGATTAGAGCACAGCAATTTGGAAATCCTGAGGTTTTCTTGTTTGTTTGTATGTTTCCTTTTAATGAAATTCTATATATATGTTACATTGTCATTTTTGATGTCACAGTTTGCTTTCTGCTTACGGTCTAAGGTTTACAAGCCTAGAAATCATGAGGCTACAGGAACCAGGCAGAGGGAGGAAGTTAAGCTGGGCTCCAAGTCTCCTCTCATACAGTGCAACCTTGCCTAAGCTTTCTAACCTCTCTAACCCTCAATTTTCTCACCTGTAAATTAAAACGGCGAGATTAAAAGATCTTGAAGCAAGTTCTAAATGTCCATGATTCCTTGGCTCTTTTTTAATTCTAAAGCAGTTATTCTGGGTACTCATAATTTCTCACATTCTTTTTTTCAATGCCACAAGTCTGCCACAAGCCGCATTCTGATAGCTTAACTCACACTGATGTAAGTTTGGCTTCTACGGAGTCAAGGAGGCCCACAGCAGTCACAGTGCAGACCCACAAGCCAGGTCCGTGACACTGGGCTGTCCCTGTGTGTTCGCCTCGGGCGGGCACGCATGTACGCAACACCCCACTGCTCCTGCACTGAGGACACAGCAGTAAACACGGCAGACACTGTCCCCACCCTCACACTGCCCCTCCCCCACGCCCTTACACCCCCACACACACCGCACCCCCCCCGCCCTCAGACGGTGTCCCTGCCCTCTGACAGGCATCCCTGCCCTCAGCCCTCAGACTGCGTCCCTGTCCTCAGACATCATCCCTGCCCTCAGCCCTCAGACTGTGTCCCTG